CAATGAAGTCCAAAGATAGAAAACCCCTCTTTCAAACATTTCAAATTTCAAACCCTAACTTCTCAAAATTACCAAATCTCACCATTTATACAAAATGACTAATGTCTATGTTAAAGTCCATAAAAATGAGTAGATTATCCCTACCTCTAATGGAGAAGCTCAAAGAAGATGAAGAGAACAACCCAAGATGCTCCAAAATCCAACTTTTTTGGATCAAATGATAGCCCACACGACACTCTACATTTTTTACAAAGGAAGTAGGGTAGAAACACTCTAGATCAAGTGTATTTATAGAGAGAGAGACAACCGGATCTAGGGTTTGGAGTGAAATGGAGATGAAAAAGTGATGTAGAATCACGCTGCTGTGAACTGATATATACAGGGCTCGCTCAAGTGAATGAGTGATCGCTTGGGTGACCAGACACAAAAGGACCTTGCTCAAGCGCAAGAAGCGTTGCTCAAGCGAAAAATGCAAAGCTTCAGGTCTGCAACCTAGATGCACGCTCGAGTGCAGGAGTCCTTGCTCGAGCGAAGGACACAGAGCTCGCTCGAGCGCAAGAAAGCTCACTCGAGTGAAGAATACCACCCTTCAGGTCAAAAAGAGACGCAGACGCACGCTCGAGCGCAAGGGTTCTCGCTCGAGTAGAAGCTGTGTCTGAAAAGAAACCTGAAGACCCTCAATCCTTGCTCGAGCGCAAGAACTCTTGCTCGAGTGAAGAAGCAAATACCCAGGCCTCGCTCAAGCGCAAAAAGCCTCGCTCGAGCGAAGAAGCCACATCCTGGGCAACAACCATTCGTTCTAACTCACAACCAACTTGTTCCAAACTCACCCAACACATCCCAAAATTCAAATACAAAGAATTAAATGATGGAAACGAAATACAGACAACAACATACAACCACGGAACTCGAGTCCGAAATACAATAAATGACAGGGGAAAAACCGGGATCGCTAGAAAAATAAACCTACTTTTACTTAATCCCCTCACTAAAAAATTTCACATTAACAATTTTTTCACTAACATTCCTCTCACTAACAATCATATCTAACTTAATCCGCCAAACAAACGTTGCATTAATGTCTTATTTTATTTTTTATTATTTTAAAATATTAATCTTTTTTTTAAACTAAAAAATAAAAAAAAATATAAATTCTATTTTATTTTTTTTAAAATTTATTAGCATTAATATTGTGAGTAAATTACACTTTGTCCTTTTGATATTTGATCACTTTTTTTATTTTGACACTTAAAATTTATTTTTTCTCATTTGACCCTTCATATTTCATTTTTTTTTTCAATTTATTCTTAAAATTAATTTTTGTTCAAAATTAGACAAAAATATCACAAAAACTATCACATAATATAAGAAATATATCACTATATTGAGATTTAAGTTTATGTGTGAGTCATATATAAAATAATTAATGACACTCAACTATCAATGTGTCATTTTTTATCTAATTTTTAACAAAAATTAAATTTAGGAGTAAAGTGAAAAAACTTGAAACATAAAAGCTCAAAGTAGGAAAAAAAAACTTTAAGGGTGTTTTTGTTTGGACGGACTAAATAAGGGGAATTCGAATCCATTGGATTGTAATCCTAGATTCATAGTCCTGGGACCATTTGGTTGGATAAGATATCTATCTCATGTTTGTTTAATCATGAAATTAGATGTCAAAAAACGACTATTTGATTGGATACGATATGAATCCTATGTTTGTTTGAGATATTATAGAAAAGAATAAATACTCAAATGACTATTTTACCATTTTTAATTATTTATTAAGTAATAGCAATATTAAACATATCTTTAATATTTTAATTATTTTTAGCTAAATTAAATAAAAAATTATTTTATTTTATTTTATTTTTTACACAATTAAATAAATTTATTTTTTAAAAATTAAATAAATAAAATATGATGTACAAATGTTTAAATGTTTAAATAAAACATAATTTAAATAAATGAAATTATTTATTGTTGAAATTAAACATTTAATTGTTTAAATAAAACATCTATTAAAACATCTATTAAATTTAAATAATGAAATTAAATAAAACATAAACAAAATTTTAAAATAAAACATCAATAAAATATCTATAAAAAATCATTTAAAAAAATTAAATAAATAAAACATCAATAAAAATTAAATAAAATTATTTTATTTTTAAATTGAGACGTTTAAATTTTATTAAATTTTACTAAATATAATACATAATTAAATAATAAATGGTCAAAATGGTCATTTCACCACCGAATCCCATATCCTCCCTTATCCCCCATTTGTGTCCCTCATGGGACACAATAGTCCAACACATTTGGGACTAATAGCCCGGAAAGATTATTAGTCCGGAGCAAAATTGGAAAACCAAACCACGGATATAAATCTTATCGTACCCTCTAATCCTATCTCACACGCCAATCCCTCGAAACAAACAACACCTACGAACCAAAGTAAGAAAATGACCAAATATAAAATGGACAAAGTGTAATTTATTCCAATATTTTTGAAGTGTAATAATTTTACTACCAGAGGGTAATTTTGAAGAGTTAATATTTTTGAAATATAATCACTGTACTGTGAAAAAAATTATGTTTGGTTTGTGTTTTGAGATAAATTTTTAAAAAGAAATTTGGGGAGAGAGTTGAAATTTTTTTTTAGTTGGTTTAGTTGCATATTTGAAAATAGTTTTAGAGTTTGGGAGTTTGGGATGATTTGATATTTTTTGGTAGTTGAGCAGATGTGGGTGAAAAAAAAAAGTGATTGAGAAGGAGAGAGGAGAGAGAAAAATTGATTGATTGATGTATAGGAGAGAGTGATTTTGAAAAAAAAAATTCAAAAAATTTGAATCAAACAAAATTTTGAAATTTTTTCTCAAAAATTATATCTTTAGGTACAAACCAAACAAACCCTGAATTTATTATTATTTTTTTAAAAAAACTATTATTTTGAGACGCAGGAGGTATAATTTTTTTATGAAAAAATTACAAAAAAAAAAAGAATTGAATTTTGTAATAAAATAAATTTTGAAAATTTTTGTTTACCAATTTAAACTCTAATTTTTAATTTATTTTCAATATAAATTGTTAACCTATTTTCATTAAACAGACAGACAAAAAAAAAATTAATTATTAAATTCAACATAGAAAGTATTGTTGACATCTTGTTATTTTGAATATAATTTATAAGTTGACTTTTTTACTTGTTACGAAAAGTTGTAATATATATATATATATATATATATAAAGATTATACAATTCAAATAAATTAATAAAGGGTAAATTACAAATACATCTCTTGAAATTTGATTAAAATATAAATCACTCTTATGATTTTAGAAATTACATTCCACCTCCTGAGGTTTTAATTTCATAACAAATCACCAATTTTATTAATAAATCATTAAGTTAATTAACAGTTTTTAATGATGTTAGAAATATGTTTTAATTAATAATTTAGATAATTTTATTGTTGTATAAAAGAGTAATTATAAATTTTATTTTTTTAATTAATTTTGTTAAATAAAAAATACTTATAAAAAAATATTTATAATTTTTCAAATTATAAGAGATAATTTATATTTTAAATAAATTTTTAAAAATAAATTTATAATTTATCCATTAAAAAATAACTTATTTATGGTGTTTCCCAATCACCTTTTACATTGAAGTTGAGCGGAGCGAATATTAAAGGAAAACAGTCACTTTCTAGGTCAGTGTCAGACCATGAAGTTTCAACCTGATGAATTTGTGGGCTTAGACCATCTCCAACAGTGAACCAAACTTGGTATCAAATTTAAATTTTGATGAAAAAAGCATTTTTTGGTGCTCCAACCGTTTCACCAAATCGATATCAAACTGAGAATTCAACAAAAAAATCATCAAACTGAGAAGCTGCTCCAGATTTTACCAAATTACTGTTCCTGACCGTTGCAAAGCTGAACCGGTCAACCAGCCGGTTCATCAATTATGCGACGGGTTTGAACTGCGACGAGTTTGAACTGTTTGAACTGGTTGGTGTGAACTGGGCTGTGCGCGTGACCGTTGGAGTTGAACCGATCAACCAGCCGATTGCCAGGCCGGTTGACCGACCGGTCTGATCTTGGTTTGAACAGGTTTGGTTTGGTTTGAACAGGTTTATTTTGAGAATGATTATTTTGTGGACTTGGAATAAGTTGAAGGGTGATATAAATTTAAATTCTCTTCAAAAAATAATTGAAATTGTTATCTCATATACATATTTTAGAACTAGCTGTTCGTTGGATAGACAGAGTATTTTTAAGAACTAGCCATTCCAATAATTTACCGTTTGATAGACAGAGTATTTTGAAAATTTACTGTTGATGATGTGTTCTATAAAATATATATGTTTCGTATATCAAGTTGACAGAATATTTTATTTTCAGAATAATATTACATTGTATGCTGTGAATTTTGTTTCTTTGTTTCTTCTGTGTCATTTAGAAATTTGTTTCCCTTGAAAATTTAATTTATATTATTTGATTAAATTATCTGATTCTAAGGTTCAGTGTATATCATTTTAATATTTTTCAGTAACTTAGATATTGTATATACTGTATTTTTTACAAAATATGGAAGATTTTGAAATGTTTGAGGAATCACAAATGTTGGAGCACAACAGTGATATTAATTTAATGTCGGAAACTTCACGAGAGCAGAACACGCAGAATAGCGATAATCATTTTATTTCAGAAACTTCTCGTGCTTCTCGTGGTAAATCGTTTACAATTATAGAAGATGAAACTTTGTGTAGATCTTGGTTAGCAATCTCTCAAGATCCTATTACTGGTAATAGTCAAACTATGGCTATTTTTTGGAACGAGTACTTGTTTATTTTAATTCACAATTGAGCGGTGAATCAAATCGAAACTGTATTTCTTTGTCCCACCGTTGGTCTAGCATGCAAAAGGCAATTAATAAATTCTGTGATTTTTTTGAACAAATTCAACTGAGGCAACAAAGTGGAACAACTGAGGTAGACATGGTAAAATTTATTTGTCTTTCTAAATATCAAATTTCTTTTGTAAATGTATACTTGTTATTACAATTTTTGTAATTTTTTTTGTAGATCGCTGAAGCGAAGCAGATGTATCATGCAATACAGAAAAAACACTTTACATTTGATACATGTTGGGATATTTTGCGCCGAAGTTGTAAGTGGGATGAATTTCGAGCATAATCCCAAAGAAGCACGCAACATGCTTATCCATGTTCGAATCCACCAACTGGAGAATCTGACGCATTTCAACCAATCAGAATAATGCGGTGCACGAACAACCATCTAATACATCAACACGACCAATTGGTACTAAGGCAGCGGGAAAGAGAAATTGAAGAATCAAACAACGCACGATAGTAAATTTGATGAAATGGCTGCCAACCAATCCAAAATTGTTGAAGTGTTATCAACTATTTCCGCTAGAACTATTGAGCGAGATGAACAAAAGGCGATCGACCGTAAGCAGAAAGCTGCAGAGCGTCGAAGAAGGGCCGAAGATAGGGAGGAACAACTAAAACTCCTATCTATGATGAATGAAAGAGAACAACGAAATGAAGATCATAAAATAATGTCAATGGACATGACAATTTTAAATCCTATGCATTTTTAAACTGAACTGCATACTAATTGGTGTATGCTTCATGGCACATTAATTTGTACTTCATGTTATGCAGTGTTTTTTGTTCATGAATGCATACTGAAACTAAAAATCAGAGAAGTTCTGAATGTAAAATATTGAAGATATGAATGTTATGAATGTAAAAATCAGAGAAGTTAGCAATGTAAAAATATTGAACATGAATGTAAAATATCAAACAAGTTATGAATATTGAACATGAATGTAAAATACTGAACATGAATATTGAACAATGTAAAAATATTGAACCTTTACCAATGAAAAATATAGAACATGGATGTAAAATACTGAAACTAAAAATCAGAGAAGTTATGAATATAAAATATTGAACATTGAAGTTATGAATGTAAAAATCAGAGAAGTTCATAATGAAATACTGAAATTAAAATATTGAACATAAATGTAGTTTGATTAAAATATGAATTTTATGCTATTGAGAAGGTTAAAATTTATCAAATTAAGCATAAAATTGAACAAATACAGCATGCACACTGAAAGGAAAAAAAAATAATAACAAAGGGCCGGTTGACCAACCGGTTGACCCGTGCCATACCCTGTTTTGGATGCTGCCTTCTTGTTCTGCTGCTGCTTTCTTGTTCTGCTGATGTTTTGGGATGCTACCTTATTGCCTTCTTGTTCTGCAGAGTTTGGGATTACAATTTGGTAGGTGGTAATTTGAAGGTGGTGGTGGATGGATTTTGTAGAGTGAATAGAGTGAATTTGTTGATACTGATTTTGTATACAATCTTCAGCTCATATAGAGGCTGAATTATTCAGGAAGGTGGTGAGGAAATTAAGACTCAACAACCGTGGTGTGTAAAATGAGGCATGGTAGGTGTGTAAAATAAGGCATGGTAGGTGGAATGAATTTAATGAATGGTAGGAATTGATATATCATAATGAATGGTAGGTGGTTCAAAGTATGCATTGTCTATAGTATGTCATGAATGTTATGCAGTGCATGCATTTATTCACTGAGTAAATGAATGGCAACATTATTAAGTATTTTTTAACTTTGTGTGTTGAATGCATTTCAACTGAGGAAAAAAATGAATGGCAAGATCAACATCAGTAAATGAATGACACATCAATTAATTTGTATAAATTTGTACAAATAATGATTATGCAGTAATTAAAGTTGAATTATTAAATTAAGATCAGTAATTTAAGACATTATTATTAAATTATGATTATGTAGATGAACATCAGTAATTTGTTGTTCATTATGATTATGCACATGAAGATCAGTAATTTAAGACATTATAATTATAAACATGAAGATCAGTAATTTAATACATTATTAGTAGCATTATCATTTAAGACATGATTATTAAATGTGCATAAATGGATAACAATTTTATCATTTGTGTTCCAATAATATTGAATTGAACACAGAATTTAAGACATGATTATTAAAACTATGTGGTTCAGACATTATTAATATCATTTGTAATTCTCATAAACTGAACACAGAACAATTCTAAATATTAAAGATTGGATTATTACAACAACACATCATCACATAACTTCTGAATTACTTGGTTAATATAGAACATCATAATGAAGATTACAAATAAGATTTCAATTTCCATTCCAAAACTAGTCACAAAAGTACATGTATTGATTAGGTGAATTTAGTGTTCACCACAAAGATGCCACATATGTTCTACTAAATCATTACAGAGGGCATGATATGCATTCTTATCTCTAATACCTAAATGACGAGACAAAAATGATTGGAAGTCATTGGTAAGAGTAGATGAAAGTTGCACTGGTGTGTTGGTTGATGAAATTTCATAATCGAAATCAAGGTGCTCCTCCCTCTCATCTTCGACAATCATATTATGTAATATAATGCAACTCTTCATTATGTTGGCAAGCATTTTCGGATCCCAAAAACATACAGCACCACCTATAATTGCGAATCGAGATTGAAGGACTCCGAATGCCCGCTCTACATCTTTCCTGGAGACTCTTGCATCATTGCAAAATGTTGTCTCTTTGCTCCTTGGGGAGACGAAATTGTTTGAACCAGTGTTGCCCATTGAGGGTATATGCCATCAGCAAGGTAATAACCCATATTGTAACTATGCCCATTAATAGTGTAATGCACAGGGGGAGGTTTACCCCGCGCAAGATCAGAAAACAAAGGCAATCGGTCCAACACATTCAAGTCATTGTGTGAGCCAGGCATTCCAAAAAATGCACGCCAAATCTATAAGTCATAAGATACTACTGCTTCAAGAATAATGGTTGGCTTTTTTTGATGGCCTACATATTGACCTTGCCATGCCTTTGGACAATTTTTCCACTCCCAATGCATGCAATCTAAACCTCCAATGAGCTTGTTCTACTAAATCATTACAGAGGGCATGATATGCATCCTTATCTCTAATACCTAAATGACGAGACAAAAATGATTGGAAGTCATCGGTAGGAGTAGAGGAAAGTTGCTCTGGTGTGTTGGTTGATGAAATTTCATAATCGAAATCAAGGTGCTCCTCCCTCTCATCTTCGACAATCATATTATGTAATATAATGCAACTCTTCATTATGTTGGCAAGCATTTTCGGATCCCAAAAACGTACAGCACCACCTATAATTGCGAATCGAGATTGAAGGACTCCGAATGCCCGCTCTACATCTTTCCTGGAGACTCTTGCATCATTGCAAAATGTTGTCTCTTTGCTCCTTGGGGAGACGAAATTGTTTGAACCAGTGTTGCCCATTGAGGGTATATACCATCAGCAAGGTAATAACCTATATCGTAACTATGTCTGTTAATAGTGTAATGGACAGGGGGAGCTTCACCCTACGCAAGATCAGAAAACAAAGGCGATCGGTCCAACACATTCAAGTTATTGTATGAGCCAGGCATTCCAAAAAATGCATGCCAAATCCATAAGTCATAAAATGCTACTACTTCAAGAATAATGGTTGGCTTTTTTTGATGGCCTACATATTGACCTTGCCATGCCTTTGGACAATTTTTCCACTCTCAATGCATGCAATCTAAACTTCCCAACATACCAGGAAACCCCCGAATCACCCCAATAGCAAGTAATCTAGCAATGTCAGTTGGTGTCGGAGATCTCAGATATTCTACTCCAAATATTTCAATCACTAAATTACAAAATTGTTGTAAACTTTGAATTACAGTGCTTTCCCCGATACGTATGTAATCATCAACTGCATCTACTACGACACCATATGACAATATTCTCATCACTGAAGTCATTTTTTGTAGGGAAGATAATCCAAGTACATGAGCTGCATCTTATTTTTGAACAAAATATGAATTATGTGCTTGGATTGCATTCAAAATTCACAGATATAAAGGACGATACATGCGAAAACGTCTCCGAAATTTTGCTGGTGAATACACTGGATTTACGGCAAAATAATTTGCAAACAATCTGTCATAACCTTGCCTTCTATCTCTGCGTATATACCCATGGCCTACAACAGAACCACCTATTTTCTTTGAGCTATTACTTGACTTAAGAATCTGAAGCATACTACTATTATTCTGCTCATAAGCCCCTAAAAGTGTGACCATATATTCATCATCAGACTCATCATCAGAGGAGGAGGAAGAAGGAGATGATGAAAATGAAGTCAATATCATGGATTTGAAGGTATTCATTATACTCTGTTTGGTTTAAAAATGATCGTATCGGTTGTGTGGAGTTGTCTCGCATATGGATAATGTGTTTATATGACCTTTCAGAAGCAAATCATTGTTTGAGGTAAATCAAAATGGCGTATATGTAATGGAGGGAAAAAGAAATAGGAAAACAAATGAGAACAGAAATGGAGGGAAACCCAAAAAGAAAAAAAAAAATTAATTAGCTTACCGGTCTACCGGCCGGTGGACCAACCGGTCGCCCCTCACCCAGTTCACATAGGTGGGTTCAAACAGTTCAAAAAGGTAAAAAAAAAAAATTTCCCCTCACCAGTCGACCAACTGGTTGACCCACGACTTTTGATGCACCATTGGAGCCGCTGATATCAAATTGGGAAAATGAGCCATTTTTTACTCAAATTTAATAAAAAATTTGAGTAACCGTTGGAGATGCTCTTAGGGATAGGCGTAATTCTACATCCAATAGAATAAGATTACGTGTTAAACAAATCTGCAGAGCGTACGAGATGGATAGCTCATAGCTGTAAATGTTATTGATGGGATTAGGACCGTTAGCTATAAATGTCTTATTTTATTTTTTATTATTTTAAAATATTAATTTTTTAAAAAAGTTAAAAATTAAAAAAAATATAAGGTTGTGTTTGGTAGAGTTTTGTAAATATGATTTGAGAATTTGTTTGGTTATAGTTTTTGAATTGAGTTTTGAATTGTATGTAGAATTAAGTTTTGAAAGTTTGATGTAACATGTGAAATAAGAAAATTTGTTTGGTGATGAGTTTTCAAAATAATTTTCAATCTATAATTGATAATCAAACACACAACTCATAACTCGATATCTGTATTTTTGATCAACAGTTATAACCAAACTATTTTTAAAATACTCAAATAAAAAAAATGATTTTTTTTCAATTAATTGTTTTTAAGTAATTTTTTTGAATAATTTTTTTTTTCAAATAACTTTTATGCCAATTAATTTTTCTGTCAATTCATTTTTTAGGCTTGCATAAACATTAAAAATATTTTAAAATTATTTAGAAAATTAAAATATTAAAAATATTCCGAAAAAAAAATATTAAAAATATTCCGAAAATTAAAATATTAAGAATATTAAAAATATTCCGAAAATCAAAATATTAAAATATTTTTATGAAAATTAAAATATTAAAAATGTTCCTACAAAATAAAATAAAATATTTAAAATAAAAAAATAAAAAATATTTAAAATAAAAATTAAGTTGTTTTTAAGTTTTGAAAAGAGTTTTGAGTTGTGTGTTTGGTTATGAGTTTTGAAAAGTAATGATTATAGTTTGAAATGAGTTTTGAGAAATGGGTGTAGAATTATGATTTGAAAATTGCAACCAAATACCACACTCAAATTAGCGGTGGAACTATGTTTTGAAATTTAAACCAAATAGAGCCTAAATTTTTATTTTTTAAAAAACTTTATTAACATTAATATTTTGAGTCAATTACATTGGTATTCCTTGATATTTCTATTTAATATAAATCTCATTTTCATGTTTAAAACATTATATTTTTCTTTTTTAGATTTGTAATCTCATTAAAAATTGTCTCATAGATTGCTGATGTCATACTCTAAATTTTTTTAAAGAACCATTTTATCATTTTTCCTACCACTTCTTCTCCCTATCATCATTACTATATTCTATAACTTTCTATCATTAAATTTTATTTTAACATATTCTTATTAAGTAATGATATACATATACAGTTCCGTCTTGTAGCTCGAATTTCTTTTGACCTGAGTGGCTCGACGGACCAAAACAACGTCGTTTTGGGTAGTTTTTTTTTTTTTTTTGGCAGAAGAAGAAGAAGGAAGAGGAGGATGAGGGAGCTGTGTGTGTGTGTGTGTGTGTGAGAGAGAGAGAGAGAGCATATCAACAATATATCATCATCATCATCATCATCATCAACAATAACAAACAACACCACATCATCATCAACACGTTTTGGCATCAACAACAAACAACACCACTTCCTCTATTTTTTTTTCTTTTTTCTTTTCAGATAACTCAGAATAGAAAGCGAGATAGAGACACACACATACACATACACATAGAGAAAGAGAGATACACAGATCTGTGTATACACACACAGATCTATTTGTATATACAAAGATCTGTT